TAAATTCATAATTCCATTTCAAATATGCTTGTCTTTTTATTGCACTTACTATCAGATTTATGGTATAACTAAGTTCTTTTACAGGATCAGTTTCTTACATTTCCAATCTACTTCAAATACTGAGCATACCCAGAGATGATTATAGTTGATGTTGGTCTCAAATATATCTGTTTTAAATACATAACATCCTCTGAATATTTAAAAATGGTAAGACAGTTTTTGTGAATGAAATCAGTTATTATAGTAACCCTTTTGTGCATGTGCATTTGTAACTACCTGTTCTTAAGGTATAAAATATACTTAGGACAAAACAAATCCAGAGAAATAATTGAAGACAAGACATACACTCAAGTATTGTTATCTCTATGTTATTCCTTCCTTTTTCTGATTCTTAATTGTCATAGCTATAGTTTAAGATGGCATACTGACTGGTATATTAATTATTGCATGTCACTGGAATATGGTGATTTAGTTGTTTTAAAATTTCAGATGTCCCTTGTATATTTTTGGGTCCAAAATGGCCAGGACCAATATATGGTTAGTTAAATACATTTCACAGCTGCATTTGGAACTTGAACTAGAACTGCATTATGAAAAGCCAACTTACAGGCATTTATTTTTTGTGTCCTTACATAGAATTTCCGTAACAAATTCTAGGATTTCTGTTACTCCTGGTGAAAAATGGCAATAACAAAAGACAACGGCAAATAGACTGAGTAGCATTGAGTAAAAATCCCTAAACCTGTGTACGAATACATGGTCATTCCTGAGTAACATTCCCTCTAAAATATTAGTAAGTTTGTCATCGCTCTGGTCAATATATGTTTCAGGATGGAGCTGGGAATAGTTGCAGCAGATAAACTATTGAGCTGATTAGGAACTTTCAGTTATAAATTTCTGGCTTTTAAAGATAAAACACGTCTCTTTGTGCATGCCTACCTGGTCTCTCTGCTTGTTACAGCTGAAGGGAATGAAAAGATTTTGCTCTTCATGATATTTAATCCTGTATCCACTGAATGCAATGGTGGTTGTTATCATTGACTTTGTTAGCACAGAGATTCAGGTCTGCAGATCCATAGAAATCTAAGAGTGTTCCCAGCCATGCCATTTTGCACAAACTCATCCAACTTCTGATCCCTGGTTCTGTTTCCCTTTTGAACCCCCAAACTGGTTTTTTTAGTTAGTTATAAGAATGTAATGGTTTTGAGTACTTTTGGAAGGAAGTATTCCATCCTGTTCCTTTACGTAATCAAACATATAAGTAGATTGAGAGAGAAGCCTCTTCCTCTCTTCTCTTCCGGCAAGGTTTGGAGACAGCAGACTCCCGCAGCCGGTCTCGCTCCTGTGGGGGAGCTGAGGCCTGGTCGGGCCTACAGGGCCTGTTGTTTCTGCCGATCTGGGGTCCGGTAGTGTGGGAGCGGCATTGAGCACTACTGTGCTATCTCAAAGAAAGTATTAAGGTTTTCTTTGGCTAGTTCTTTATTGAGTGTGTATACTTGTTTTTCGGGGTTTTTTTGTTTGTTTGTTTTGTCCCTTTTCCCTTCCCTTTTCTGTTTTAAGGTGTTGGGAGTTTTTTCTTATGTGTATATAGTTGTTGTAATTGTATATATAAATGTAATGTAAGTGTAAATATATTTATATATTGTTCTAGCTTTCTCTTACTTCAGTTCTCTTGTTTTTTGGTTTTTTTTTCCCTTGGTTTTGGGGGGGGAGATCTTGCGGTGGGGTTTGGAGACTTGGCAGGGAGCTGGCTCCAAACCACCACAAAGTTATAATACCACATCACTCACAGTAACTTTTCTCCTACACATTTCTTTCCAAACCTCTGCATAAAAGTTTACCTAATCTATCATCTTATCTCTGCATATAAACCAATTTTATCTGTATGTTCTCTATGTTTAAGAAGTCTTATGTCTCTGCATCTAGAAAGGCTCACAGATGATTATAGTAACAAATATTCTAGTCTCAATTAAAAGTAACCTATTAAAAACATTCTTCTTGGTTATAGATGTAATAATATATATATGTGTACTATCTGAAGAAGTCCAAACGACTTACTGCTCATAATAGTTACAATTATTGTGAGAATTCTGACTCTAAGTATAGAATATACTACAACTAAAAGGAACAGGAAATGACACAAACTAGGAAATATTGAGTTTTTAGCATCTACTCTTATAGCTGGGGAAAAACTTATTAAAGGTCAGAACAAATTCTATGGTTCTAGTCAAGCAGCTATTCAACCGTTGAAGTCGCTGTGGGAGTTTTGTATTCTGAAAGACTTTAATATGATCCCTTTGAATTTGCCTCTATTTTTTAACATTTCTTTGGCTGAGATTATCCTTCTGGCTTCAGATGCCTCTATAACATTCAACATATTCAAATTGTAAGCATTAAGACCAGGAAATAAACAATGAGATGCCCCATATAAAAATTCACCATATTCATACCATACATTACATACATTAGTCAAAAGATTACTTCTTATCAAGACTAGAGATGCAATGGGCCTTCCTCACAACAGACTTGAGGTGCCTGCTACAGTGTCTGCTCATCTCAGCTTCCACAGAATAACAAGATTTCCAGTGCTCTGTATTGCAGCTGATGATGGGTTCAAAATCCAGTGGCAGCATTTTTCAGTTCTTTCTGCAGTGAATATTAGTGTCAGCATACTGAAAAAGAGGTTACCTTGTATCACTTTTTAATGTTTAAATAATCTTCTAGAATGTTGGGGCTCTGTATGTGAACCACCTTAAGAAACTGCATCTTAGTTTCTCTTTTTTCTGGGTAAGTACAATGCCCAAAAATGGAATGAGGCATCCTGTGGAGCTTGTGGAAGGGATTCCCATGATGAAAGTTGGCAGAAACTGAGTGTCAAGATACTCAGTCTACACCAAATGGTGGCACATCAGAAATGTTCACTAAAAGGATATTAGATCTTTAAGTTGTCTAATAGTGCCAGCAGTGATTGTGCCACTGCTGGTACTTATCTCTGTATTGAAAGCTTTATCTTAATTGTTATATTAAGATGGGTGAAGTGATATTAATAACTGATCTTCTTTTCCTTTTACTAAAGGTGTATAAAGTTTATATAAAGTTTATCTTTACAGAATGTCATGATCATAATTTAATTATCCCCTGTGAGAAGATGGGATGTGGTTTTATGTACCACTAATAACTAAAAAATGTCTTTACTAGAATTGTTATTGTCCAAATCACAGTCTGATATTCCTGTACTCTGGTAATGCAAGGAAATAAAGTTCTTCCCTATCAGCCATCCAGTATAAAAGGACATATGTAATGAGTTGAGTTGGGGTGTACTAAGATTATTTTCCTTCCTCTTCTCATTGTCTGCTTACTTGGTCCAAAAAAGATGCATTTTAGTTTGTGGTTTTCCCACTTTCTCACACTATGTTCTGTTATCTAACAGCCTACAAAGATTGAAGGTACCTTAAAACAGGTAGCTGATTAATCTATGCCATTCAATCTTTCAGCAGAAATACTAACTGACAAAAAATACTTCAGATAATGGAAAAAAAGTCTATTAATCATCAAAAAAAAAGGTATAATAATAGAGATAAAACTCTGCTTCTGTTGGTAGATCAGTCTTTGAATGTTTGAAAGGCACATACATACACATGTACCTGCATTTACGTTGTAGCCAATCCATGCAGTCTGTAAGCTGCTGTCAATTTACTGCATCAACATCCATCACATAAAGTTATTATATATGCATCTATCATTTTGTGTATTAGAAGTAAAGACATTGTAATAGAATTTTGTCATAAGATCAATAACTTGGAAAATAAATGTCTTGGCTTCACCTCAAGGTTTACAGTTTGGTAGCAGGACATCATTATCTTTTGACAATGTTCTATAGTGGTGGCAATATCTCTTAATTTAAGATCAAGTACAGTATATGTCCTTTAATTCTTTTATTATTTATAGATTTTTGCATTAAAGCTACTATAAAGTTCAATGAAACACAAGATACAATGAAACACTGTTCATTTCAGTCCTTCTTTATTGCAAACCTGACTCCTCACACATTTCCATTAAATTGTTTCATGGTTTGACTTATCTATACTGTACTGAAAATGTAACACTGCAAAAATGCAATAGCATGTATTTATTAAGTGTATACCAAGTCTGCTGCCTGTCTTCAGCTGAGATATTGAATGGGTGTGGGAGTTAGTGACATGAGAAGTTCTTTTTTTTTTGATCTAGCCAAGCGTCAATAGAACTTCTTTGGCTACTGAACTTTTCTCATTGGTCACTGACATATCTGATACAGCACTGCATATCTGTGAATATTTGTCATGGCCACAGTTTTTAGATAAAACCTATAGAATTTATATTTGGATGGATTTTATCCCCTCCATACTGGCTTTTGAACTGTGTAAAATAATGGAAATGAAGAACATGATTATAAACTAAAGACCATTTGATATTTTTTCTCACAATATCAGTTATCATTAACACTCATTTCTATTGACTACAGACAAGTGACAAAACACTGCTGAATTTCAGATCAACTTGGGAAAAGCTCCAGTGATGTGTCAGTGCTTGGTTTGTCTCTGCTCTAAAAGAGAGATGATAGATAATTTAGTAACATGACCTAAACCCAACTCTTCTCACACTTGTGCTTCAACTTCTGGGTGCACTGCTGTCAGAGGATGAAAACGAAGAATGGAAGAAAAGCATCGAACTCAAGATTCCTCCTGAAGATGAAACCACTTTATAAATGAATACAGATTGTAATGGACTATTTGAGTTTATGCGTTTCAGGTTTTATGTTGTGTTTCCTAATTTTCTGTTTAATTCCCTATGTACTGTGCTTTAAGTCCTGGAAAATTCCCTTGTCCCTCGTGGCCCTGAACCCTTCCCTCTCATTGGTTGAATTTTGCTGCATTTCAGTACCCTTCCCTATATGGTTGTGCCATACCCGTTTTGCATGCTCCACCCTTGCTCCTCCCCAGTTACACCCTCCTTCTAGCGAGTTCTCAGCTTACTCTATAAAAGGTGAGAGCCATTTTAATAAAGAGGCCATTTCACCTTGGACCCTCGAAGTGCGCCAACCCTTTCTTCCCACAAAAAGCTACACACTATCACCAATCTTAGAATGGAAGAGATAGAAAAAAATCCAAGGTGTAAACGGGTTTTTTTGATGATTTTGTGTCTCTCAGGAAGACTCTTACTGTCTCCTTTCTATGAAACCTGTGCAAAAAGGAGAGAAATTCTGGAATTGCAGGACCTGACTCACTAAGGTAGATGATGTTTTATTAATATTTGATTGAATGGTTTGTTTCTTCATTTGTTCATTTGTTTCAAATTATGGTTTCACTTTGGTTTGTATTGTTACTAAGTCTAGAAAGTCCTGATTTGGAAAGCAAGAAAATGTAGCTGTACTCAAACAGTTAAAAAATCTTATGAAATGAAACAGTGAAATATGATCAAAAACAAAAGTATAAAATCCTCCCTTAGAGCCACTTATGACTTTTGCATATGCTGAATTCCTAGCTAATCAAACCTATATGCAAAGAATACAGTGGTTTGGAAAACATACAGATGAACTATAATTAAAACTGTATTGAAATATATTACTTATAATTTATAATATTTATAGGATGATATTTGGAATCCATTTATCTTTCCAGAGCATGAATATGTGCAAAGATATTATCTGTATACATATATATACACAAAAGCACACACACACACACATCACTTGGAAAAAAAAATCAGAAATGTTCTGAAGGTCAACATACATAAGTTGACTTAAAAAAAAAAAGTCAATAAAGTGAAATTACTAAAATGTCTTGTTGGATATGCTATCATTTTTATGAAGTCCATATAAAACCCATATTTTAAGGTCAGAAAACATTTTCTTAGAGTTTTAAAAGAGATACAAAAAGGATCTTTCAGATCATCTTGGTCAATACAATGCAAAATTGATCCTTGGTATAATTCATACCTGTGGAGCAGAACTCAGTAGAAAACTTGAAATAATTCTAAACTAACGCTAGGAATGTCCAGGAATGAAACACATAATATTTGCTTTGTCTGCTTATCACTGATATTACAAATATTATTAGTCTGTATTGACTTGCTGTCAGTTCAGTCTAGATTCTATCTAATCTGCAGTAAATTGAAGAATCACAGAAGGACTTGTGTTGGAAGGGACCTAAAGATCATCTCATTCCAAACACCCACCATGGGAAGGGACACCTTCCTTTAGACCAGGCTGCTCAGAGTTCCATACAACCTGGCCTTGAACACTTCCAGGGGCGGACATCTACAACTTCTCTGAACAAACTGTTCCAGTGCCACAACACCTTCACAGTAAGATTTTTTCCTGATATCTAACCTAAATCTTCCCTCTTTAAGTTTAAAGCTATTTCCCCTTGTCCCATCGCTACATGCCCTTGTCAAAAGTCTTCTTCAGCTCTCTCGTAGGCCCCTTCAGGTACTGGAAAGTGCGGTAAGGTTTCTCCAGAGACTTTCCTCCAAGCTGAACAACACCAACTCTCTCACTTCACAGGAGAAGTGTTGCAGTCCTCTGATCATCTTCCTGGCCCTTCTCTGAACTCGCTCCAGCAGGTTCCTGTCCTTCTGGTGTAGGGAGCTCCAGGGCTGGATGCAGTAGTCCAGGTGGGGTCTCACCAGAGCAGAGTAGAGGGGGAGAATCACCTCCCTCAACTTGCTGGCCAAACTTCTTTTGATACAGCCCAGGGTACCTTTGGCTTTCTGATCTATTAAGTGTGTGTTGCTGGGTCTTGTTGAGCTTCTCGTCCACCAACACTTCCAAGTCCTGCTCCTCTGGGCTGGTCTCAATCCATTCTCTGCCCAGACTCTCTTTGTGCTTGGGATTGCCCTATCCCACATGCAGGATCTTGCACTCGGCCTCGTTTAACTTCATGACTTTTTCATGGGCCCATCTCTCAAGCATGTCAAGGTCCCTCTGGAGGGCATCCCCTCCCTCCAGTGTGTCAGTTGCACCTCTCAACTTAGTGTCGTCATCAAACTTGATGAGGCTGCACTCAATCCCACTGTACATGTCACCAACAAAGATGATAAACAGTGCCAGTCCCAGTTCAGACTCCTGAGAAATGCCACTCATCACAGGTCTCCATGTGACTCTGAATAGGCAACAATTCTAGGTATTCTTTTCTTTTCTCTTGAAAATATATAGAAAAAAATTATAGTCAAGAAAACTATATGTGTCCTTAGACTCCCATCTTAGAGTGATTGTATGTACTTTCTTTCATAACTTATAATTAATTTCTAGGATTAATAACTCATTCTTAGATATGAATTTTGTATCCAAGAATTGGAATAGAGAAAACATTAAGAGTTAAGCAATTTTATTAATATTGATGTTTTTAAATCCATTTACTGTGACTAAATTTGACACAAATAAAAGGGGAAAACACACAATACATAAATAAATAACTACAAATTTCATAGTCCAACTAAAAAGTGAGACAAATCATTACTATTCATTGAAGTCATTGTTACTATGCTGATTTATGTTCATTAAAGGTTTATTCATATACTGAGTAAAATTATGGGATCACCTTTTTACTGGACATTGCAGTAAGTAATTCTGATTTTCCTTGGTTTGCAGTATCAATTAGTCTTATTTTATCAACTCCTGAGTAGGTTTGTACCTGTTTCTTATAATGTAATGGTCAAAATATTTCAAAAGTGTTAGCAAGGCAAATATTACCAAATAGCATTCCAAAGAGCCTAATTTTTAATCTTTTTCATGAAGTACTAACAGAACAGAGACGCTTTGTTTTGTGGATGTCTCATTCTTTTTGTGATAACAGTAGTACTGGCTTAAGATAAAATTATTTCCCTGTTCATTAAAGTTTGTTCAGTTGCATCTAATGAAATTGCTGATGTCACTAACATGGATAGAAAATAACAGGAATGAAAACAGATCAACGTGTTATGACTGGTAGTTGTAACATTTACTGTACCAAAATTGTATCTATATTGACCCAAAAGAGCATTTATGTGCTATTTATAAATCCTGGAAAAATAGTTCAAGCCTTGTTAATTGAAATCAGTAAGACATTTTCAGTCCGATATGTACTTAAAGAATGTGTTTGCCACTAAATCTGAACAGAAAACTAGTTGTGGTGAAATTTTTCAGCTGAAAAATGCACCTCAACCAATAAGCAATGAAGCAAAAGGCTTTTAGAAATGGATACTACAAGTGAAAACTCGGAAATTTGAGCTAGCTTTTAATGGTTGCATTTCAACAACTACATATTGATTTTTTTAAAAAAGTTCGGTTATAATTAGGACTGACATGGGTAAATTTTGAATATCTGGCTGCTTTTCATGAGACAGTAATTGGAGCTGCATCTATTTTTTTGCTATAATTTTCCGACACAGTGACACAGAATCATGGAGAATGACTTGTGTAACCCCTGTTGCTTTTTTTCCTTGCTTGACCCAGTAAAGCAACATGGTAAATGTATGTAGTGATTTAATCCCAGCTGGGAATTAAACTCCAAATAAGCTGCTCTGCCTTCCCTCCCCACTCCTCTAGTGAGAAAGGGGCAAAGGCATTGTGGGGTTGAGTTAATTTACTGAAAACAAACAACAATGGAAGAAGAAATGCACAGTGACAGCAACATCAACAACATTAATTAAAAAGTATACCAGAGAGAAGGTGCTTTACACACAAAAATTGTTAACCATCTTGACTCAGTTCCATGTCATCACCGAGACAAAAACAAGATGGCATATTTTCTCTAAAGCTCAGCAGTGACACACAGTTATTCCTGAGACAAAGACAAGATGGCAGATTCTCTCTGCAGCCGGTGTTCCCCATCCCCAAGCCCAAGACAGTGAAAAACAATTATGGACAACCCCCCAAAAAGCTGGATCATCTGCATTGCGCTGCCCAATTTCCAGACTGGTTCAACTCTGCATAGTGCAATCCACTCCAGACTGCTCCACTCTGCTTGACTGTGCTTGGCTCCTTTCGACTCGGTTTGCTACCACTCTTCCCTGCAACTGCTTCTAGCATAGGCACCACAGTGCATGAACTCTGCTAGGCTTGGTTGTGTTTGCCACTTGGAGTTACGTTCTTCCTGAGGTACAGGAAGGAACGGGCAGCAGTGACAGAGGGACAGAGTCTGCATCGCTGGTCTCTGCAACTTCCCTGAGGAAGAAACAGAAAAGAATGGCATCCTTCCAACATGCATTCATTTTTTTCCCCCTTGAAATTAGTTCCCCAGAAATGGGGGTGGTATAGAGTAGCAAACCTAACCATGTCCACACCTGTGAGAAAACCCAGGACAATGTAAAAAAAGAAAAAAAGAAAAAAAAAAAGACTTTTTTATGGTGTCTTAAAGACAATTTTTTTTCTAAGAAGTCTTTACCAAAACTTTTACTGACAGCAGTGGGTACCAGTATGCATACTGTCAGTATAAATTATTAATGAAACTGATAAAAAAATCATTTATGGTCATGAATACAATGTGTAATGTAACATGGTGTGGGAAATCCCCTAACCAGCTCTCAGTCAGTTTAAGCCTCTATCTGAAGTGACACTCTGTCAAATAAGGAGATGCTAGCTGAGATCCTGAGACAGCATTGAAGTGTCAGCCTTATACAGCACCATAAGAAATTATCTCAAAAGTAGGAGGAATTGGCTTGCTGTAGCTCTACTAAAATGACTATACTGATTACTGGTCTACTACTAATTCTTTCTCTGATATACTGGGAAAATTCTGCATGACTTGCAGCATAGACAATCCTAGGATTTAATGTAAGGCCAGAACATGTTAGAAAAAAAAATTATACCATTGTGAAACATTATACTCCTATTTCAGAATCCAACACAATTGCTTAACAACATGGTAAAATAGTTAATATCACATGGTGGCAACATATAAAGTTGCTGAAAAAAAATTACCTCACAACCCTCAGGTTTTGGTCTCTTGATAATGCTTAAACTTAGAAGAAATAAACTAATCACATAATTGCTCTCACATTATACAGTTGTTCTCACATAAAGTAGTTGGCACTCAACTAACTGATCAGGTATGATTACAACTGCAGTATTTGTGAATACTTGAAAACAGAAATCTTCCTATAAATCTTAGGAAATGAAATGCAATATGACTATAGCAAAGAAAATAGTATGTAATAAACAAACATTCATGACAAGAAACAAGTCTGAAAGTTAATGTTTGGATTCCAGGATAGAGTGGTGGAAACAATGGATTCATTTAAAATTCAGAGC